AGATAGTTGAGAAAATTACATAATAAAAATTGAAAACCATCCTGGGTCATCTCAACTGTAACAGAGATTCTCCAAGATACATTGTAATGAACCTGTCCAAAGTCAAGTCAAAGGATAAAATTCTGCAAGCAGCTAGGAGTAAGCTAACCAGCTGACCTACAGGGACAGAGACATTAAGATGATAGCAGAATTTTCAACTGAAACTTTGCAAGCCAGAAGAGCATGGTGATCCACCTTTAACATTCTTAAACACAATAATTTTCAGCCTAAAAGTCCGTATCCTGCTAAACTAAGCTTCAATATTGATGGAGAAATCAAAACTTTTCTGGATATAAAAGCACTGAGGAAATTCACCACCACAAGACCAGCTCTCCATTCTCAACATTGAACACCACAATGAACCACCACCTGAGTAAGCACCTAGAAGCTACAGGACAAAACTTAGCTTCCATAGTAGCACAAAGGATAAAACTACACAGCAGACTTTCTCATAATAAGATGAATAAAATTCTACCACACTTATCAATACTCTCAATAAATGTCAATGGATTTTTTTTTTTTTTAGAGACAGAGTCTTATTTTGTCACCCTTGGTAGAGTGCCATATAGTCATAGCTCACAGCAACCTCAAATTCTTGGGCTCAAGTGATCTTCTTGCCTCAGCCTTCTGAATAGTTGGGACTATAGGCGCCTGCCACAACGCTCAGCTATTTTTTTGAGATGAGGTCTTGCTCTGTCTCAGGCTGGTCTCAAACCTATAAGTTCAGGCAATCCACCCATCTTGGTCTCTCAATTGCTGGGATTATAGTTGTGAGCCACCACACCCAGCCAGCGTCAATGGATTGAATTCCCCACTGAAGAGGCACAGTCTGGCTAATTGGATAAAAAAAGAAAAAAGAAGCCATCCATATGCTGTCTCCAGGGGATACACCTAGGCTTGAAGGAAAAACCAAGACTCAAGGTTAAGGGATGGAAAACTGTATTTTAAGCAAATGGAAATCAGAAGAAAGGAATGGTTGCAATCTTATTCGCAGATGCAAGCAGATTCAAAGCAACTAAAGTTAAAAGAAGGCCAAAGGTGGACACTTCATATTGGTCAAAGGAACAATACACCAAGAAGACATCTCAACTTTAAATATTTATGCATCTAACGTAAATGCTCCCAGATTTATGAAACAGACCTTGAGGGGTCTGGGCACTATGATATCCCATAACAACGTAATACTGGGGACTTCAACCTCCTCTGACAGAACTGGACAGATCCTCTAAACAGAAACTAAAAAAAGGATACACAAGACTTAAACATTACCCTAGAACAAATGGGATTAATAGACATATACAGAACACACCATCCCAATGCAAAATAATATACCTTTTTTTTTTTTCTCATCAGCCCATGGCACATAATCCAAAATAGATCACATCCTAGTATACAAATCAAACCTCAGCAAAATTAAAGGAATAGAAATAATACCTGTTTCTTCTGAGACCACAAGGCTTTAAAGATGGAACTCAACTCTAACAAAAATGTTCATCCCCACACAAAGATATGCAAATTACACAAACTTACAGTGAATGATAGTTGGGAACATAAAAGATAAAAGAGGAAATTGTTAAATTTCTCAAACATAACGATAGTGAAGTCACAAGTTACCCAAACTGAGGAATACAGCAAAAGCAGTCTTAAGAGGAAAATTTATTGCACTAGATGCTTACATTTGAAAAACAGAAAGAGAGTGAGTGCATCAGCATACTCACAAATCATCTTATGGAATTGGAAAAAGAACAATCCAATCTTAAATCCAGCAGAAGGAAAGAAATAACTAAAATTAAATCAGAGATTAATGGAATTTAAAACAAAAAAGTCATTCAGAAAATTAACAAAAAAAATATATTTTTTTTATTTTTTAAATAAATAAAATAGATAAACCTTTGGCCAAACTAACCAGAAACAGAAAAGTAAAATCTCTAGTAACCTCAATCAGAAATGCTAAAGGGGAAATAACAACAGATGCCACAGAAATATAAGAGATTGGCTCAGTGCTTGTAGCTCAAGTGGTTAAGGCACCAGCCACATACACCAGAGCTGGCAGGTTTGAATCCAGACTGGGCCTGCCAAACAGCGACAGCTACCACCAAAAAGTAGCTGGGCATTGTAGCAGGTGCCTGTAGTCCCAGCTATTTGGGAGGCTGAGGCAAGAGAATTGCTTGAGCCCAGGAGTTGGAGGTTGCTGTGAGCTGTGATGCCACAGCACTCTACCCAGGGCGACAGATTGAGATTCTGTCTCAAAAAAAAAAAAAAGAAAAAGAAAAGAAAAGAAATACTAGAGATTATCTCTGAATTCTATAAGAAATTCTATACCCGAAAATTTGACAATGTGGAGGAAATGGGTCAATATGTGGAATCCCACACTCTCCTTAAACTTAACCAAGAAAAAAAGACTTCTGTGGCAATTGAAACAACAATAAAAATAAACAAATGAGACTTAATTAAACTGAATAGCTTCTGTATAGCTAAGGAAACAATAACCAAAGCAAATAGAAAACTTACAATGGGAAAGGATATTTGCATAGTTTGAGTTGGACAAAAGCTTGATAATTAGGATCTACAGAGAACTCAAATTAATCAACATAAAAAGAGCCAATAATCCCTAATATCACTGGGTAAGAGAGATGAATAGAATCTTTCTTTAAAGAAGACAGATGAATGGCTAACAAACATGAAAAAATGCTCATCGTCCCTAATTATTAAAGAAATACAAATCAAAACCACCCTGAGAGCTCATCTAACCCCATTGATAATGGCTCACATCACAAAATCTCAAAACTGCAGATACTGGCATGGATGTCGAGAAAAGGAAACACTTTTACACTGCTGGTGGGACTGCAAACTAATCCAACATTTTTGGAAGGCAGTATGGAGAATCCTCAAAGAACTCAAACTAGACCTCCCATTTGATCCTGGAATCCCAACACTAGGCATCTACCTGGAAGAAAAAAATTTATTTTATCATAAGGACATTTGCACTAGACTGTTTACCGCAGGTAAATTTACAATTGCCAAATTGTGAAAACAACCTAAATGCCCACCAATCCAGGATGGATTACCAAGCTGTGGTATATGTATACCATGTAATATTATTCAGCCACTGAAAAAGATGGAGACTTTACATCTTTTGTATTAACCTGGATGGAGGTGGAACACATTCTTTTTAGTGAAGCATCACAAGAATGGAGAAGCAAGAATCTAATGTACTCAATTCTGATAGGAGGACAATTGAGGACCTAGTACATGGCGGGGGGGTGGGGTGGGGGGGGTAGAGGAATAGGGGAGTGGAGAGAGGGAAAGAGGGAGGGAGTGGGGTTATATGGGGTGACACACCTCTTGGTGGCAGGACACAATTATAAGAGGGACTTTACCTAATAAATGCAATCAGTGTAACTTGGTTCTTTGTACCCTCAATGAATCCCCAATAATAAAAAAAAAATTGAAAACCTCATGTCCTGGACCCTTTCATAATTCCTCTCTCCAAAGTTGAACAACTATTAATCCATTGGCAATCTTTTTTAAAGACGGCTTTATTGAGATATAATTCATATACTATAAATCTCACCCTTTCAGTAATTTTGAGTATGTTCACAAGGTGTGTATCTGTTAACATTTTTAATGCACATACTAACATATGTGTATTTATCATTTTAAAATTTGCATAGAAAGGTCATATGGTGATCAATCTTTGCTCCCTTGCTTTTTCATTTTTTTATTATTATTTTTTAAGACAGTCTCAAGCTGTCCCTCTGGGTAGAGTACCCTGGCATCACAGCTCACAGCAACCTCCCACTCCTGGGCTCAAGTGAGTCTCCTGCCTCAGCCTCCCAAGTAGCTGGGACCACAGGCGCCTGCCACAACGCCTGGCTATTTTTTGGTTGCAGCTGTCATTGTGGTTTGGCGAGCCCGGGCTGGATTTGAACCCGCCACCTTAGGTGTATGTGGCTGGTGCCTTAGCCACTTGAGCCACAGGCACCAAACCTGCTTTTTTATTTTGTTAAATGAATTTTCCATAATAGGAAACATAGATCTGTCTCATTGTTTTTGATGGATATGTTGTATCCTGTAGTGTGATTGGTTTTTTGGCTCTTGCAATGTATACTGAAAAGAGATAGCTTTTGTAAATCTATCTCTAACTTAAGTGCCTATTAATCAATTGCTAGAATCCAAGGATATATGCAATTAGATTTTGATGAATATTACCAGTACCCATATCAGAGGCTATTATCTGTTTATATCTGCATCAAAAATTATGAGTGCTCATTTCTCTGCATTCTCACAATTTATTTTTTCCAATTTAATAAGTGAAAAGTATTTACTTGTTGATGATTTGCTTTGTACTTCCTTAGTTTTAAATAATGTTGACAATCTTTTTTGTATGTTTATTGGCTATTTTACTTTCACTTTCTCTTAACTGTCTACTTATATCCATTGCCTATTTTTCCATAAGGTTGTCTTTTCCTCATTGAATTGTATACGTTCTTCATGAATTATATATTTAAAATGTTGCAGTATCTACCATTGGTGTTGCAATTACTTTATTTATTCTTTCCTCTTTTACTTATTAACTATTACTGGCCTGGCTTCTTTATATTCAAATCAAACAACAGAAAGGATGAAGTTATAAAGAGCTAGTAAACGATTATGACCGTCAGAATTATTTGGCTTACTAAGGATGCAGAACTAGACTAGAGACCACTCTGGTAACTTAAGGCCCCATTATTTGTACCCTTTTCCTTGTACTAAATAGAAAACCTGACTTGACTATAGAATTAAAAATTTAATTTGTAATTCTCTACTGGAAAGGGGAGAGAATATTGATAAGCCTTCCATGATGTCTATAAAATTTTGAATTTTACACTCAATGCTCTGTTCCTTTGTCCTTACTAAAATCCACCATCAAAGAAATGATAAGTGATAGTTTCTTTCTAAGCATTTAGAATTAACCAGGCACTGCCCCTAGAGGTGTTGCATTTGTGCCATTATGTGGCAGAGAGAAGAGAGACTATGTCTATGCTCAATGTTCTGATTCATGACCATTTGAATGATTATTACTCTGACACTTGGGCAGAAGAAAAAAAATAGAATTAACCAGGCATGTACCATGTATCTAAACATTTAGAATTAACCAGAAGTAATTTTTGATCTTGCAATTGGAGGATCTTGGATTATCAGAACAGCAGAGAAATCCTTCTGTTTCTATTTATTAGGAGCTGGACACTGAAACCTTGGGTACCTGCATAGATTTCCAGGTTGTTCCAGGCTGTGGTATTAGCTGTAAAGTCACCAATACTGAAGGCTTGCTACATAAGAATAACTGCAAGATAGAGGAGAATAATATTAAAAATGCATCTCTACTTCAAATAGATGCAAATAATGAACAGTCATCAACTTCGTCTTCCATGGTTATTGATGCCCAGCTCTCAAGTAAGCTAATTTTTTTTGTAGTACCAATTATGGGACAGTTATGAATAGGTGACTGACTTTATAGTCCTGAAACAAAAATTGGCATCACAATTTCATTCCCTCAAAGTAGTTTTACCATATGCCTTCTGATCACTTATGTTGCTTAAGAACATTTCCTAACCATGCTCATTAACACCACCATAGGGTGAGGAGGGCTAGCCATAGTTAATCTTCCATGATCCTTCTTTTATCTCTAATTATAACTACTCCAAACTTTTTATACCTTTCATAAGATCCTGTGACCCTCCCCCTGGTCCCCTCTGCAAAGTATCTTGCTTATTTTTCATATAGAAAATTAATATTCTTAGGCATGTTTTCTTTCAATTGTTTGCCCAGAATTATTCCTTTTTCAAAAAGGGGAAGAGGCATCCCTTATCTTGCTTAATGAGTAACTTCATCTTTTTTCTAGATTCTCTTTCTCTTGATTCCTCAGGAACTTCCTTCTCTCTGTTAGGTCCCCTTGCTTTATTTTTCCATCTCTTTCTGTATTAGCTTCTTTTAAATGTAAACATTTCTTCCATTGAAATCATTATATTTTCATCTAAATTTTGTCCTTTTATATTATTATCATCTAGAGTTGATATCTTTCCATCTGTTTTCTCATTAAGATTCTGTCTTTCTATTCTTTTATATCTAAGCCTCTAGAAAGGATAGTCTAGTCTTGTTGAATTCACTTACTGCACAGTCATGCCTCAGTTCACTGCAGTCTGGCTTCTGCCCTATCCATACTACAGAAACTATTCTTTCTAGGCCCACTGATGACCATGGACCTTAGTGCCCTCTCCTTTGATCACTTTCCAGTCCTCATCTTACATGAACTTACTAAGGCATTTGACAATGTTGACCATTTCTTCCTTCCTAAAACTCTTTCCTCCCTTGATTCCATGACCCTGCTTTCTCTAGATTCTCCTCTTACCTCTCTGGCTGTTTCTTTTAATTTTCCTTTTATTCCTCATTTCTCCTGCTCACAAATGTTGGATGTCCTTAGGGTTTTGTTTTTAGTCTTTCGCTCACTTTACATACTCTGTCTGTACAATCTCATTCGTGCTCATTTCTTACTCTTCCCCGTAGGCTCTCACTATCATTCTAAAATCTGTATTTCTAGCCAAGACCTGTATCCTGGGCTTCATGTTGATCCATCCATCTGCCCCCCAAACCTACCTAAGTGTTTCAGCACCTCCCTACCTATTTATACCTGAGTGATGTAGCTAACATTCAAATCTGATCATATCACTTTCTGACAAATACATTTTAGTATGGTGGTTTATAGCCTATTTATGAATCATGGACCTTTCACATGATGAAAGCTATGGACCTACCTCTCAGAAAATTTTTGTTTCTCAAGAGGTTCACATATATCCTGACACCCATTCATGGATTTGTGCTAGTATTCCAGCTTAAATAAAGTATTAAAATATTTCAGCTTTAATAGTTTTTATTCTCCTGTGGGACAAAGTCCAGTCTCTATGGACTTTGTTCAAGATCTGTTCCCCATCTTATTTTTTTCAGCTGCCACACATGTGCTCTATTCATATCTAACTACTCACAGTTCCTCCTTGCAGTATATCATTTGCTGATTATTAGATCATTTCATTTACTATTTTCTCTATGTAATGTCTTTGTCTGCAAATGACATCTACCTCATGAACATATGCTTATCTTTTAAGACTAAACTCACATCTCTCTTCAGTGTTGCCTTCACTGACTGACATACATTGGCAGAAGTATTTGCTCTTCTTGAATCATAACTGTACTTAGTCTCTGTTATTGTACTATTATACTAGATATAATGCATGATAACTATTTCTTTACCTGTTTCTGCTAGTCTGTGATTTCTTTATTACTTATCTGTGAACTTCTAGTATATAGCACACTTACACATTGGAATTTATTTAAACAGTTTTTATTAAGTACCTAGTGTGTGTCATGCACTGTTCAAGGCACTAAAGTATCACCAGTGAATAAGATAAACAAAGTTACTATATCCTGCAGCTTGCATTCTTTGTGGGAGAACAAAGACAGTGAACAAATTAATAAGAAAATATAGTTATATCCAATGGAGATAGTGCTATGGAAGAAAATGAAGTGGGGTCAAGAGTATAGCGAGTGCTGGGAATACTGAGTCCTATTTCATATAGAGTAATCAGGGTAGGCTTCATTGAGAGGGTTTTGTTTGAGCAAACACCTGAGAGGGTAAGGGAGAAAGCTATGGTGAATATCTGTGACAAGAATATTCCAGGCAGGGGGAGTAGTAAGTATAAAAGCACTACTACTTACTACTTTGTAGTGTGCTTGACTTATGTGAGGAACAACAAGAACAGTTTGGCAAGAACAGGGTAAATGAGTAGGCACGGGCTGAAAGATAAGTCAGAATGGTAGTAAAAGAACTTTGCTTTTTACCTTGAGATGAGAAGCCATTTGAAGGTTTTAAGCAGAGGAGGGACAAAACTTAATTTAATGTTTTAAAAGTATTATTCTGGCTGCTTTGGAAAAAGTACACTGTGGTGGTATGGGTGGGGCAAGGGCAGAACCAAGGAGATGAGTTGGTGGACTATTGGCATAATCCTGGTTGAGGATAATGGTAGCTTGGTCCAGTATAGTAGAGGTAGTAAGAAGTGGTCCAAATTCTAGATGAGTCTTGAAGGGAGAGCTGACAGATTTTCTCACAGATTGGATGTGGGAGTATGAGAGAAACAGAGGTCAAGAATCATTCCAATCAAGGTTTGTGGCCTAAGCAGTTATATAGATGGAGTGACCATTTGAGTAATATGAGGAATATCCTGTGAGGGACAATATTGGGAATAAGATTAGGAGTTCAGTTTTATACATTGTTAAGTTTGAGTATTTATTAGATGTCTAAGTGAAGATGACATATAAATGGAAATATCAAGTAAGCAGTTGGCTACATGAGTCTGGAGTTCCAGGAAACAGACTGGTTCAGAGATACAGATTTGGGAGTCATCTACTTATAGATCCATGGTGTCCAGTATAGTAGCCACTAGTTACATGTGACTATGTAAATTAAAAATAATTGACCAATTCAAATTAAATTTAAAATCCATATCTTTAATTGTGCTAGCCCCATTTGAGTGCTCATGTGTGTTAGTAGCTATTGTATTAAATATAGCAGGTATAGACCATTTCCATCATCTCACAAAGTTCTGTTGGACAGCATTAATATAGATGGTATTTAAAGCCATGAGACTGGAGAATATCACCAAGATATGAGAACAGCTAAGGAGTAAGAAAGGGTTAAGGACTAAACCCTGCAGAGCTACAAATTAAGAGGTCAGGAGGGAAATAAGGATGGATCAGCAAAGAAAGCCCAGAAGGAGTTGGGATCCAGGAGGTAACTATATATAACTCATAGCAAAGTGGTATCCTACAAGCCAAGTGAAGAAAGTATTTCTAGAATGAGGGAGTGAACAACTGTGTTAAATGCTGGTATTAGGAGAAGTAAGATGAGGACTGAGAATTAACCATTAGGTTTATTAAAGTAAAGGTCATTGGTATACTGTATGAATAATACATTGGAATAGTAGAGACAAAAGCTTTAATGGAGAATGGAAATATTTTAATTGGAGACAGCCATTAGAGACAATGCTTTTGAGAAATTTTGCTATGTGCAAAAGCAGAGAAATGTGGTAGCTAGAGAATTAGATGGGATCAAGAGAGGTTTTTTTGCGTTTTTAAAAGTTAGGACAACGTACACTAGAGATAGAAAAGTTCATTATACAGGAGGGAGAGGAGATAATTTCTGGAAAGTTGTTTTAGATTTAGGCAAAGTTGGGGAGATCTACTAGTCAAGTAGAGAGATTAACTTTAAATAGGAACAGTGGCAATTTATAAAAACAGAAGGGCAGATGGATACTTAGACCCAGGGGCTAAAGTAGTATAGTAGATATGACAATGAGAGCTTGTGGAAGTTATCTTCTGATTGCTTCTATTTTCCTTCTGAATTAGGAAGCAGATTCAGCATGTAGTATGAGAATGGGAGAGAAGAAATTGGAGATTTGACGGGAGAAGAGAAGATGTGAAATAGCTGTCTAGAAGAAATGGAGAATGAGACTGGGTGTAGTGGCTGATACCTGTAATCCTAGCACTTTGGGAGGCTAAGATGGACATATTGCTTGAGCTCAGGAGTTCTAGATCAACCTGAGCAAGAATGAGACCCCATCTCTAAAAATAGCTGGGACATTGTGGTGGGCACCTATAGCCTCAGCTATTTTGGAGGCTGAAACCAGAGAATCACTTGAGCCCAGGACCTTGAGGTTGCTGTGAGCTATGACACCATGGCACTCTACCAAGGGCAACATAGTGAGACTCTGTCTCAAAAACAAAACAAAAACAAACAGAGAATGAATGGATTAGGGAAATATAGTTGAATTGCTAGGCAGCACTAAGGGCCCAGTTAAAGCTGTTGGTCATAAGTTTAAAATGAGACAACAGCATGGTTATATGTTTGTGTTCAACCACATTCAACTACAGTAAATATTTGAATTTAATTGAAATGTTGTGGAAGGTCAAAGGGAAAACCTCACCAAGAAAGTATCATTTGAGATACTTTACTAAGAAGAATATGTTCCAGCTCCATCCAT